AGCTTAAGCCTCACGAGTTAAATTATGCCACGCATGATTTGGAGTTAGCGGCCATAGTGCATGCATTGAAAACCTGGAGACACTTTCTCATTGGAAACCATTGTGAGGTGTACACGGATCACAAGAGTTTGAAGTATATTTTCACACAGAAGGAACTGAATCTCAGGCAAAGGAGATGGTTGGAGCTCATCAAGGATTATGATATGAGATTGCATTATAACCCCGGGAAGGCTAACGTAGTGGCCGACACATTGAGCCATAAAACTCATGTCAACACCTTAATGACGGGAGATTTACCAAGGGAGTTAGCCGAAAACCTTCGTGAGCTATGTTTGGAAATAGTACCAAGAGGCTATGTAGCAGCATTGGAGATTCAGTCTACTTTGATGGATAAGATCAAAGACGCCCAGAAGACTGACAAGGAGATTGCTTCTATTAAGGAGGAAATGAGCAAGAGAAAAGCTAAAGGATTTCATGAGGATGAGCACGATACCTTATGGTTCGAAGACCGTGTTTATGTGCCTAATAACTCGGAGATCGGGAAGTTAATTCTGCAAGAGGCGCATGATTCACCATATTCGATTCACCCAGGAAATACTAAGATGTATTTGGATTTGAAGGATACTTTCTGGTGGACCGGAATGAAGAAGGATATTGCGGAGTATGTAGCAGTTTGTGATGTATGCCAGAGAGTAAAAGCAGAGCATCAGAAGCCAGCAGGATTGCTACAGCCATTGCCGATACCTGAATGGAAGTGGGATAAGTTAGGCATGGATTTTATTACGGGTTTACCCAGAACTCGTTCAGGCTATGACTCAATATGGGTTGTAGTCGATCGTTTGACAAAGGTAGCTCATTTCATCCCAATGAAGACTACCTATACCAGTGCAAAGTTAGCAAAGATATACATGACCAGAATCGTATGTCTGCATGGAGTTCCAAGGAGCATTATATCATATAGAGGAACCCAATTTACCTCAAAGTTCTGGAATCAGTTGCATGAAACTTTGGGTACCAGACTGGAGTTTGGTACAGCTTTCCATTCGCAGACAGATGGACAGACCGAGAGAGTCAATCAGATTTTGGAGGATATGCTGAGCTTGTGCGCTAGATTACGGATCTAGTTCTCTTACAACAACGGTTATCAATCCAGTTTGAAGATGGCCCCTTTCGAAGCCTTGTACGGAAGGAGGTGCAGGACCCCACTGTCATGGGATGAAGTTGGAGACTGACAGTTGTTTGGACCGGATCTGATTAAGGAGTCTGAACAGAAAGTGAAATTGATTCACGATAGGCTCAAGGTAGCTCAATCCAGGCAGAAGAGCTACGCAGATTCTAAACGCAAGGAGACAGTTTATGCAGTCGGAGACCGAGTTTATCTTCGAGGAGTTAAGCACTTTGGAGTTAAGGGAAAGTTAGCGCCACATTTTGTAGGCCCATACAAAGTTTGGGAGCGTATGGGAGAAGTAGCTTATAAGTTGGAATTGTCCGAAGGATTGTCAGGAGTTCACAACGTGTTCCACGTTTCCCAGTTGAAGAAGTGCCATGCAGAGATGGCTGATATACCGCTGAGAGATACAGTGCCACTGGAAGCGATTCAGTTGGACAGTGATTTGACTTATGAGGAGAAACCAGTCAGGATTCTTGAGTATGCCAGTCGAGTCACCCGCAACAAGGTTATCAAGTTTTGCAAAGTTCAGTGGAGCCACCACACGGAGGATGAAGCCACTTGGGAGCGAGAGGAAGAATTGCTGAAGGACCACCCTCACCTATTTTCTAGCCAACCCTAATCTTGAGAGCGAGATTCATCTTAAGGGGGGTAGGTTTGTAACATCCCAAATTTTCAATTTGGAATGTTATACACTAGATCATCATTTGCATATCATATTTATTGCAATTTGGTTGATCCTAGAAATTCTACACAACTCAAGGACCCTAAGAGAGAGTTGGGGATATCGTTATTTTCATATTTGAGTTCTCTCAAATTTTGAAAATAGGATCATTTGATTTTATTTATTTTATCTTCAATTATTTCTATTATCAAAATATGAGAGAGGGAATAAAATAACTTTCCCAAAATAAAGAAATATTGAGGATTTAATAAAAAAATCAAATAAGATTTTATTTTGGTTTTATTTGCTATTTTATTTGATTTAGGAAAAATGCGCATTTTTCAAAATTGCATTTAGGCCCCCAAATAAATGTTCACCTGTGCGGCTTGATTGTAGAAACCGGGGAAAATTTATTTCGGGATTTTTGGAGTCCGTTTAGTATTCCTTTTGTTTTTTTCTGAGCGTAATTATTTTAAAAAAAGGGTCCAAACCGACTCTGGGCCGTAACCGGCCAGGACTCCGCCTGGCCGGGGCTTTAAGGATGCGTTTGGTTGCAGGGGTATCCTCCGAGGGACAGGGATAGCCCTTCTATACGAGGGATGCCACCCGTTTGGATCCGAGGCGAGGGAGGACAGGGGCAACCGGATGCTTGGAATATTCGCCGAAAATGGGGCTGGGGTCAGCCCCGAAAAACTGGCGGGTCGCGCCAGCTACCCCGCACGTGCGTCGCTGCGTTCACACGCGAAACATTATTTTTGGGTATTGACCCCAGCTCACCCCTCGTGAAACCCTCACTTTCCCCGTTCCTCGTCTCTCCCTTTTGTGAGCGGCGGCGGCAGCGACGGCGACGCATCTAGCAGAGGCCGGCGAGAGGTGAGTCCTTCTCTACTCTTTCCCTCTCCTCTCCTTTCCTTCTATCTCCCTACCTCCATCAATCGCGTGTGCCAGCCGGCCGTTGCGGAGGGTGTGCACAGGGGCGACGCGGGCTAGATTTGAGGTGGCGGTGCGACTCGATCTGAACGAGGGCGGCGGCTGGGGGCTTGAGAAGGCGCGAGCGGCACCAGGAGGTCGCCCTTGCCCACCATGGGGAGCCTGGCCATGGGGAGATCTCACCACCACGGTGTGCTGGCGGAGGTGGAGAAGGATTCCCCGGCGAGCGGCTGCATACACACGACAGCGTCCGCTAGGCTGCATCGGCGTGTGTGTGTTCTGATGTGTGTGCGCATGATGCTTTGCTGCTGTAGGCTGATGCGTAGTGTTCATGTGTGCGTGTGATAGAGTCTGCTCATGTGTGCGTGTGCTAGACTAATGTATATTATCTGTTTTTTTGCCGGAACTGATGTACATTGTCTATTGTTGCAGGATATCTGAAGGTCACCATGAGCACATCTAGCAGCACAACTTCAATCTGAGGTAAAACATACACTCCACCACCTACCTCCTATTTCTTTCTCTGAAATATTTGACACTAGAATAGAACGTCGATTTACCTCTGAATAATTGGCTTCTTGTAGATAGATTTTGTGCTATTAAATTATTCTTGTTCACATGTTAAAGTGTCATTTCTAATTGCATTGTAGATGGACAGAAAAACAAAGATGTTAATTTACGCGGCTGTGGCCCAGTGGTTTATCAACATGATAGCATTGGTTGTTCAATCCAGGAAAAGAAAAAGAAGAGAAGCAATTACGTATGCCCCAATTGATGAGAGAGATTGGATGAGAAGAGAGTATTTTGACAACAAAATATGGAAGAATGACACAATTTGTGTGAACATTCTTAGGCTTGGGAGAGAACCTTTCTTTAGGTTTTGTCAACTCTTTAGGGATCACAACTTGCTAAAGGACACAATACACTTGACTGTTGAGCAACAAGTAGCGATGTTCTTGCACACCATTGGGCACAACATTAGAAATAGGGTAATTGGCGCCAATTTTGGTAGATCCGGTGAAGTCGTGAGCCGTTACTTCAAAATGGTACTCCATGCCATTGGTGAGCTTCGAGATGACCTTATTAGGAAGCCTTCATTGGAGACCCAAACCAAAATAGAAGGAAACTACCGGTGGGATCCATACTTTAAGGTATGAGACCAAGTGACAACTATATTTTGTCATTGTAGGCATGAATTTGTTTAGATCCTAATATTTGGGTTTTTGTTTTCACCAAATAGGATTGTATTGGAGCTATTGATGGTACACATGTGCGAGCCTTAGTTACACCGGATATGGAGGCTGCTTTTCATGGTAGAAAGACTTATGGTACTCAAAATGTGATGGCGGCTGTAGATTTTGACCTTCGATTCACATATGTGTTGGCCGGTTGGGAGGGGACAGCACATGATGCTCTAGTTTTACGTGATGCTTTAGAACGTGAAAATGGTCTACGTGTCCCACAAGGTAATAGATGAACTATATACATCTGTCTTGTCAATGGGGTATATATATATATATAACTAAGTAACCCAAATGTTTCTCGTTTAGGAAAATTTTATCTAGTTGATGCTCGATATAGAGCCAAACCAGGTTTTTTGCCTCCTTTTCGTGCCGTGAGGTACCACTTGAATGAGTGGGGAAACAACCCCATGCAAAATGAGAAGGAGTTGTTCAACCTTAGGCATTCTTCTCTTCATGTGACCGTGGAACGTGCATTTGGGTCATCGAAGAGAAGATTCAAGATACTTGATGATGCCACCCCATTCTTTCCCTATCCAACACAAGTAGACATTGTTGTGGCTTGTTGCATTATTCATAATTGGGTTATAAATGATGGGATAGATGAATATATAATACCCGAGGATGAATGGGTGCCAAATATTACTCATGCTTCATCATCAAGTGGTCAAGCACATGAACATGCATACATGGCTAATTTTAGGCAAGGACTCGCTGATCAAATGTGGGAAGACCGACAAAACCATTTGCAAGCTCAACATATGTAGTGACTACTATGTCATTTAGCTTGTTGTGATGAACTATTGTACTTTGGAACTATTGTGTTGGAACTTATTTGTAAGGACATATTATTTTCTGAGATGGCATTTGTAATGACAATTTAAGTTGCTGAAATTGTTTTGTTATGTCCAATTACTTTGTGAAACTATTTTGTTATGTCCAACTACTTGCTGAAATTAGTTTGTCAATGTCCAAACACTTGCTAAAATTGTAGGGAATGGCTGCTAAGCAAGTTTCATGGACACCTACCATGTCAAAGTTCATGCTGACATGGCTAAGTGATTTAGTCTCCAATGGCAATAGAACAAGCACTGCCTTCAAGCAATCACAGTTCAACTCTTGTGCCATTGCTTTGAATGAGCATTTCCAACTTAACTTGAATGGAGATCAGATAAAAAATCATAATAGGACATGGAAGAGGAAACTTCAGAAAATAGTGAAACTCAAGGAGTTGAGTGGTGCACTATGGGATGAGGACAAGTGTATGATTGTTCTTGATCATGAGCATTACACAAATCATGTTAAGGTAACTATTTTCCTGCCCATGAGTATTTGTTGTTATTCTTCCTTTACACAAATCATGTTAAGGTAACTATTTTCCTGCCCATGAGTATTTGTTGTTATTCTTCCTTTACACAAATCATTCTACTTGTTCGCATTGTTTGAAAGTACTTGTCGTAATGGGTTTCTTAAGTTAAATACTTGTTGTACTTCTTTGTTCATGCTCAAATACTTGCTGAAATTAGTATCTATAAGTCGAAATATGTGTTGAAATCAGTATATACAAGTCCAAACACAAGATGGAATTGTTTCTTTATGTCCAAACAATTGCTGTAATTGTTTCTCTATGTCCAAACACTGGCTGAAATTACCTATATTTGCTGAAATCGTTTCTTCATGTCCAAATAATTGTTGTACATCTTTCTTTATGTCCAAACATTTGATGTACATCTTTCTTTTATGCTGAAATAATTTTTGGAATGTTACTTTATGACCAAACACTTGCTGGAATTGTTTCTTTATGTCCAAACACTTGTTGTACATCTTTCTTTTATGCTCAAATACTTGCCAGAATTATTTCTATATGCTAAAATACTTGCCGAATGTTTCTTTATGTCAAAATACTTACTGAAATTACTTATTTTGGTTCTACAAGGCTCACCCAGAGGATGAACAATACCTTAAAAAGACTATTACTCATTATAAGGAGATGGTGAATATAGCTGGAGGGAGCATGGCTACAGGGCAATATGCAAAAGGCTCAAGTGACCCTCTTGCTACAAAAGTGGTAAATCTTGAAGAAGAGACATCCAAGAAACCCACTGCCCCAAATGAGGAGGTTGCGCAATCAACCAATGTAGGTTCATCTAGTCCCAAACCAAAGAAAGCCAAACCAAATCCTTGTGTAGAAGACAAGTTGCACGCAACCATACTAGCATCTAGTGAAAGAATTGCTATTGCGATAGAGAAGAGTACTAGCAGCGAGAACAATGCCATAGATGGTCTTTGGGAGAGCATGAAAGTACTTCCTGGTTTCAGTTTGGATCACCTTGCTCATTACTATGCATATTTGGTTGATAATCCTCGTGTTGCTATGGCATTCAAGGTGTTAGAAGAGGATCAAAGGAAGGTTTGGGTTTCTAGGTATGTCAAGAGTACCTTCCCTGAAGCGTAAGGATGGTGAGTGCATATGTGGTGAGCTGGTGATTGACTTGTACTTTTGATGCAACCAAAACATGAACTATGAATTGTATTGATTAACTCTTTTGATGCAACCAGACAATAACTATGGTTGTATAACTATTACGTTCTAGTAGTACTCCATGGAATGTTGAACTATGAGTTCTATGCACCTGAGTTCTATATATATGAAATGTTGAATTATTATATGTGATGAAGTTCAAAGTTTGCTCTACTGTTTTGTTTTGGCTGTTGTGAAATAGTATAAAATTTCGAAATTATGACTTTACGCAACATATTTTCCTTCCTTTTATTGAAAAAGTGCAAATTATGAGGGTAATCTCATCATCTCAAGTCAAAAAGGTTACCACAACCCTTATTCTTTGATTATCCCTCAAACCAAACACTACAATGGCTATCCCCAACCATGTTTCATCCTTCCATCCAAACAAAACATGGGATAACCTCATCCTTCCAACCAAACAGAAAAAAGGGCTATCCCTAGCCAGCTGGTTGGGGATGCCCTCAGCCACCCTAATCTGTCCCTCAAACCAAACACATCCTAAGTAGCGCCGTCCGAGGCCCGGGAACAGCCCAAGCCATGCCCCGCCCAAACCCTAACCCTAGCCCCGCCGCCGCCGTAGCCGCCCCGCGCCACCGCTGCCCCGCCGTGCCGCCACCTGCCGCCGCCGCCCCGCTGCCCCGCCGCTGCCGCTGACGATCGCCGAAGTCGCCGCCGCCGCCGTTCATCGGAGTCACCGGAGGTAGACCTCGCCGCTGTCGTTTTTTTTAAAAAAACCGTTCGGTTTTTCGTCGGTTTCATTCGGTTTTTAGTTAGTTCGTTTTTTAAATAGATCGGTTTTTCCGTTTATTTAATTAGCGAGCGTTCACTCGTTCGTTCGTTTTAACGAACACGTTCTTTGATTAGATCCAGTTAATGAACGTCCTTTCGTTAATCTGTTCGTTGTTTTCTTTTCTCGGATTAAATCCACGATTTTTCAGATCGCAATTTCTGATCCGTTTTTCGTTCTAGTATAACTTTTCGCTCATTTATCAGAATCAGGCGATCCAAGCGCCTGGAGTTTCATCTCGAAACCCTCTTTCCGTTTAAACAACTCAAACAAGTTTTTGCCCACTGTAAAAATTGCCCTAGATTCAGAATAGTAAACGAAGCTTGTTTCTTTTGCCGTTTGTCTTTCGTTGCTTCGTTCGATTTGATTCTTTTTGCCAACCGGAGTTCTTAAGTTGAACTTTCTGGTTAGATCTCTTATTCGAGTTTTACCTATGCATTAGTTGAGTACTTATTGTATGCTTGTTTGTTTGTGATAGAGTACCCGGAGTGTGCCACTTGCTACTTCGAATCGCTAGGTTTTGTGGATCATGAGCAAGGCAAGTAGCACTTTGATCATACTTCCAATTACCCAGTTTTATTGCATTAGATCAATCCTCACACATTGCATGATTAGGATATATTTAAATTGTGGGTTTGGGAAGTAGTTGAGGTAGTACCTATTACCTGTTGTTATCAAACCTTTGGGAGTTACTTCTACGTTTGCTTATTATGCCATGCTATGCTAGTAGACGTGGATTGGGTGAGTGTATCAATGACAGATGTGAGATTGTTAAATTAATGGTTTATCTAAGGTGGCAACTTAAATACACGAGGCACCTAGGTATTCCAGCGATTGCCTGTTTTCTTTTGGGACCGCCACCCAGGCTCAAAGGGATTATGAGATTATTCATGCTAGAAACTTCCGTGTGCAGCCACAAGCTACTATGGGCTCTAGCATAGTTGATTAATTCGTGCGAACTCTTACAGTGGTAGACTATCATATGTAGGGGAAAGTAGGTGTAACGGTCTACCCGATCGTAAGGTGCTAGCGCTTCTGAAAGACTATGTCTCGGTCATCCGTTTCTCAAACACCTTGTAGTGCGAGAAATCAAACGGAGGCGATCGAGTCTTGTGGGGAAAAGTGCGCAAACCTCTGCAGAGTGTATAAACTAATCATGGTTAGCCGTGTCCTCGATTATGGACATCTTGAGTATCTAGTACCTGGATTATCATGTGAATCTCATCATGTTACTCTAAAATAAATTTTGTTGGGTTTTGTTCAATGATGATGTTTAATTGGGATTGAGAATGCTGTCAACCATTCTCAATGTTTAACAACTACCATGATAGTTAAATAAAATTTATTCCTTTGCAGTAGGGAAAAATTGGCTTTACGCAAAACTGTAACTATAGAGCTTTCCACCAGCCAAATATGCATGTAGTATAGTCTTATTCTTTCATACTCTCTATGTGTTACTTTGCCAGCATATTCCATGTGCTGAACTGTTTCGGGCTGCAACGTTAATGTTGCAGATTTTTCAGACGACGATTAAGGTGCTTTTAGGTCGTGGTTCTATACTCAGTGATGCCGTTGGAGTTGATGGACTCGCTTATCTTCCAGGCCTTCCGCTGTTATCGTTATTAGATGGCCTTAAGCCATATTTATTGTAATAAGTTCTCCTTTGAGACTCTCGATGTAATAAGTGTGCGATTGCTACTCTGTTATAAATCTTTCAAGTACTATGTGGTGTCAGCATTACTGATCTAGGGATGACACCTGAGCACAGAGATTGGACCGTTTGAGGTCTGGTCGCTACAAGAGAAGAGGGCCCTAGGGCTGGCCGCCCCCCCCCCCTTGAGGAGTCCGAATTGGACTAGGAGGGGGCGGCGCCCCCTCCCTTTCCTTCTCCCTATCTCCCTCTCCTTCCTTCCCCATCTCTTCCCTTGTTGGAAACCTACTAGGAATAGGATTTATATTCCTAGTAGGAATCCTACTTGGGGGCGCGCCCCATGAGGGTTGGCTGGCCTCCCCCCTTTCTCCTTTATATAGGGGGGCAGGGGGCACCCTAGAACACACAAGTTGACATTTGTCTTAGTCGTGTGCGGTGCCCCCTCCACACATTTCCACCTTGGTCATATCGTTGTAGTGCTTAGGCGAAGCACTGCATCGGTAACTTCATCATCACCGTCATCATGCCATCGTGCTGACGAAACTCTCCCTCGACCTCAACTAGATCAAGAGTATGTGGGACATCACCGAGCTGAATGTGTGTAGATCATGGAGGTGTCGTGCGTTCGGTACTTGATCGGTTGGATCGCGAAGACGTTCGACTACATTAACCGCGTTACTTAACGCTTCCGCTTTCAGTCTACAAGGGTACGTGGACACACTATCCCCTCTTGTTGATATGCATCTCCTAGATAGATCTTGCGTGATCGTGGGATTTTTTTTTTGAGATACTGCATTCCCAACAGTGGCATCCGAGCCTGGTCTATGCGTAGATGTATATGCACGAGTAGAACACAAAGGAGTTGTGGGCGTGGGTATATACATATTGCTTGCCGTCACTAGTTGATTCTAGATTTAGCGGTATTGTTGGATGAAGCGGCTCAGACCGACATTACGCGTACGCTTACGCGAGACTGGTTCTACCGACGTGCTTCGCACACAGGTGGCTAGTGGGTGTCTGTTTTTCCAAGTTTAGTTGGATGGGTTTCAATGAACATGGTTCTTTCTGAAGATCAAAAAGCAATCACTATACTACGTTGTAGTTTTGATGTGTAGATAAGAACGGTTCTTGCTAGAATCCCATAGCAGCCACGTAAAACTTGCAACAACAAAGTAGAGGACGTCTAACTTGTCTTTGCAGGGCATGTTGTGATGTGATATGGTCAATACATGATGCTATATTTATTGTATGAGATGGTCATGTTTTGTAACAGAGTTATCGGCAACTGGCAGGAGCCATATGGTTGTCGCTTTATTGTATGCAATGCAATCGCCCTGTAATTGCTTTACTTTATCACTAACCGATAGCGATAGTCGTGGAAGCAATAGTTGGCAAGACGACAACGATGCTTCGATGGAGATCAAGGTGTCAAGACGGTGACGATGGTGATCATGACGGTCCTTTGGAGATGGAGATCAAAAAGTACAAGATGATGATGGCCATATCATATCACTTATTTGATTGCATGTGATGTTTATCCTTTATGCATCTTATTTTGCTTAGTACGACGGTAGAATTATAAGATGATCTCTCACTAAATTTCAAGGTACAAGTGTTCTCCCTGAGTATGCACCGTTGTTACAGTTTGTCGTGCCAAGATACCGCGTGATGATTGGGTGTGATAAGCTCTACGTTCACATACAACGGGTGCAAGCCAGTTTTGCACAAGCAGAATACTCGGGTTAAACTTGACGAGCCTAGCATATGCAGATATGATCTCGGAACACTGAGACCGAAAGGTCGAGCGTGAATCATATAGTAGATATGATCAACATAGTGATGTTCACCATTGAAAACTACTCCATCTCACGTGATGATCGGACATGGTTTAGTTGATATGTATCACGTGATCACTTAGATGATTAGAGGGATGTCTATCTAAGTGGGAGTTCTTAAGTAATATGATTAAATTGAACTTAAATTTATCATGAACTTAGTACCTGATAGTATTTTGCATGTCTATGTTGTTGTAGATAAATGGCTCGTGCTGTTGCTCCGTTGAATTTTAATGTGTTCCTAGAGAAAGCTAAGTTGAAAGATGATGGTAGCAATTACACGGACTGGGTCCGTAACTTGAGGATTATCCTCATTGCTGCACAAAAGAATTACGTCCTGGAAGCACCGCTGGGTGACAAGCCTGTTGCAGATGCTGCGGACGACGTTAAGAACGTCTGGCAAAGCAAAACTTATGACTACTCGATAGTTCAGTGTGACATGCTTTATGGCTTAGAACCGGGACTTCAACGACATTCTGAACGTCATGGAGCATATGAGATGTTCCAGGAGTTGAAGTTAATATTTCAAGCAAATGCCCGGATTGAGAGATATGAAGTCTCCAATAAGTTCTATAGCTGCAAAATGGAGGAGAATAGTTCTGTCAATGAACATATACTCAGAATGTTTGGGTACCACAACCACTTGACTCAGCTGGGA